ACAAGCTGGAATGGGTACAGAAGAGGGTGACTGATATGATCAAGGGTCTCAAAACCAAGCTTTTTGAAAAATGGTTGAGTTTGGTATGTTCAGCTTGGGTAGGTAGACACTGAGAGGAGATATGGTAGCCATCTTCAAATGTCTAAAGGACATGGAAGATGGCACAAGTTTTTCTCCAGCTCCAGAGGATAGGATTCAAGTTACAAGAAAGGAGTTACAAGAAACACCAGGAAGAGCTTTCTGGCAGCAAGAGCTGTTTGACATTGGAATGGACTCCTTCAGAAGATGGTGGACTCTCCTTCCTTGAAGGTTTTAAAGCAGAGGTTGGATGGCCATCTGTCATGTATGATTTAACTGAGATTCCTGTGCTGCAGGGGGTTGGACTAGATGACCCATGGAACCATACATGATTCCATGAACAAAAGCAGTGCATAACTTGAGGAGACATGAGCTGATAGGTCTTGTCTTTCTTACTACTTGTATATAGCAGGGAGGCATATAAATAAACATACAGAGGAAAAACTCCTCAGGATTGTGCGGTCAATCAAGGAACATGTTACCTCGGCAAACATCATGCCCCTCTGTATGGGTGTGAAGTAACCCTTCCACCACTCCTCTTGGTTAGCTGATTTGCTGATAACAGAACTAACCATTATGTTACAAACTGTATGAACTTGCTGTTGCATTTCCAGCCCCACCTAGACCTCATTCCCAACTTATTTTGCAACACATGTAGACTGGGTCTTAAACTGCTATTGGGGCCTTGTTCCTAGTGTTATGTCACAGAGCTATTGCACTGTGGATAATTTTTATGGCTGTGGCTAGAGATAGAGGAGGTCATTAACTGAGGAGCAGGTTTATGGAAAAAAGACAAAATGGTCACCCTCTCAACACATACAGTGGTGTGAGAAAGTTGCACTAACTCTCTAGGAAATAGAAGAAATCCAGTTTGATAATATAGCTGAAATGCTTTCAGTGTGCAAAGTTGCTTCCCCTGCTCTTAGCTCTAATTTTATAGTGTTCTGCAGCTGAAGTAGTTCATAACAGGGCACATGCTTGAAAATGCTATCATAAATTCAACTCTTGTTTAGTTTGGATCCACTGGCACTTGGTGCCTTTCCTGTTGGCTGGTATTTTATGCCTCAGTACTCCAGGAAGAGGAAAATGCTTTGTTTGCACTAGTGCTAATATGAAAAAACCTCTCCCTGACATTTAAACTTTTAGTACCAGTTTGCCTACAGTGTTAATATCACTGAAATGGCTTACACAGATTAAAACAGCCTACAGTATATAATGCAAAATATGAACGTAACATTATTTGCTGATTCAAACACTTGAAGGAATTATTACCATTGAGATATTTAAGGTCACCTTTACAAATCCAATAAATCAGAAGCATGTCAAACAAAGGGACTTGGAGGCAGCAGAAACCAGGAAGTGAAATTCTGGCCATCACAAGTATAGAGCATATGAAGAAGATACAGAAGGGAGCTACCAGAATGATTGGGGAACTGGAAGGGTTTAAAGCAGTTAAAAGCCTGTTCATTTGAAAACAAGTTAACAGAGAGGTGGAGTGAGCTCATCACATGGCACTGATCCTAACATAGCAGCGCCGGCTGTTTGTACAATTCTTTTTTCATAAGATTTTATTAAAGCTTTTCCATAATACAATAAGATAAAACAAACCAATCCAAACAAAAACAGAGAATGAAACTGAAAAGGAAATGCAGAGTCCTCTCTCAAAGGTAGCTTTTAAGCCTTGCCATGCACAGAAAGCAGTGGACCCTCCCAGTTCTCACCTGGGAGCTTTCCCTTCTTCTCCCAGTCTCTCACCTTGGGAGATCTTCACTTCCCTGCCTCTCTCTTGGGGTCCTTCCACTTCTGAGCCAAATTCTAAATACTGACTTTGAACTACAAAGCCCTGTATGGCTCACGACTCAGCTTCTCTCCCAGACCCTTCAATCTTTAACTGAGGTCCTCCTCCAGCTGCCCTCTCTGAGGTTTGGAGGCTGGTGACAAGAGACTGGGCCTTTTGAGTTGTGGCTCCCTGCTTTTGGAAGTGCTCTCCCTGATGAGGCCGGCCTGCTGCCATCGCTAACACCCTTTCAGCACCAGGCAAAAACCTTTGTCTTCTCCCAGGCATTTGGCAGATTATAGATAATTTACTAATTAGTTAAGTTTCTATACCAACCTTCACCTGAGAATCACAGGGCAGTTTGTAATATAAAAACTCAAAAATACATACCATAGTAACAAACATACCATAGTAACAAACAAAAACAATAACCCCCAAGCACAAATTGCTTAATTAGCCAGAGGCCTGGGAGAAGATGGATGTTTTTGCCTGGTGCCTAAGGATGTGTAATGAAGGCGCTAGGTGAGCTTCCTTGAGGAAAGCATTCCACAAGCAGGGAACCACTACTGAAAAGGCCTATTCTCATGTTGTTGCCCTCCGGACCTCTGATGGAGGAGGCACACGAAGAAGGACCTCAAATGATGATTGCCGGGTCTAGGTTGGTTCATATGGGAAGAAGCAGTCCACGAGGCATACCAGTCTTGAACTATTTTGCTGTTTATTGTTGGTATATTTTTTGCTGCTGAAGGTTTGCTGTTGTTTTATTAGGTCAGCTTTATAGGTTATTGTATGGTTACTATTGCAATACATTGCTATTTTTTTTACCTTGTTCTATGCTTTTAAAATTTTGTAAGTCACATGGAGACTCCGAGATCTGATAAATGACTAATAAGCTGAACCATAAGTGGGATAAGTGAAACATTAGCTGTAGTATAATACTTCAAGATCATCAGGAAAAGTGACTAGGCAGTCAGTTTAAGAAAAGAAAGAGGTACTACTTTGTGCAGAATGACTGAACTACAAAACTCATTAGCCATAGGATATTATGCTGTCTACAAACATATATATTGTTAAGCTCACCCCACTTCTCTCAGCAGTGAGGTGCATAGGTGGAGGTTTAAATGCTCCAACAGGCAGTCCAAGCCCTCATACCAGATCTCTAGGGAGACAGACAAAATGCCTGAAGAGCCTAAACTCATCTCTCTGTGCCTTTCTCTGCCTCAGACTGCACTCTGTTCTGTTTACACTCTGAAACTGCACTCTGACACCTAATTGCGACATCCCCAGCCAAGAGCTGGAAGAGCAGTGAAAGGTAGAGAGCAGCATGACCTTTTACCAAATTGACTCTCATCTTCCAGAGAAGTGTGCAGATATTTTCTACCTGTAATTTCCTGGAAAAAAGAGGAAATACTTGTCCATATTGCCAAGGCTTTTAAAGGCAGTCCCCAGCAGCTCTGTTGTCTCATTAACCCTATCCAACTCCAACTGTCTGTCTTGGGAGGTAACTCAGCCAGATTTAGGACTTAGGGGTTTACTGCAACATGTGCCATGCAGGAACCTGGTTTTGAATGGAGAAGTAGTGGTAGGAAAGGGGTGCTTGTGAGAGCAAACACACATGGAGTTGGGGAATGCGTAGGTGGCAGGTATGGAAATGGCTAATCACCCCTCTGCCTGACACATCTGTCCAAATTCCATCCTGTTGAAGATATTTTTCTTAAAGAAAGCAGAATCTGAAATTTATTTATGCACATCTGTGTGGAGCCTCAGAACTGCATCAACTTCCTGCTGTCTCTGGGAGCTGTCCAGGGTCCTGCATCACACTAGCCTTACCAGCTCCTTATGGTGCATTACCTTTTCCCATGCTTCCTCCTTGTATCCACTGATTTTACCAGGGAGGTTATGGATTTCAATAGAAAGGTTGTGAAGAAGAGTCTGGGGAAAAACATTTGGGATTTGGAAGTATTATTTTTGAGTGCTCATGCAACACTGGGATGTGGGCCTTTAATTATAGAAGGCAGGGACACTGCATCCAGCCAGATGTATTCAAGATACAAGAAATTATTATGAAAATAATTCTTTGAGCTACACATGCTCCATGAGGTTTTTCTGTTTGAAGGGTGTCTGAGTGTCTTCTTCATCTCACAGTTGCTGCCATGCAGTTCAGGCCTAGCAGGAAAATCCATAAACTATTTGAAGCATTTCTGTGTTCATTGAGTGGACACATTCTGTTAAGCGTTTGTGTGTATGTTTTCCATTGCCGTGTCTTGCGGGTTTATTGCCCTTGATGGTCCAAGGGCTGTAGAACAGTGTGGATCTCCCTCTTCAATGGTCAAACTCATAAAGGAAAATACCACGTAGTCTCCTCCCCAACACCATCTGTGACCCTAGCCTCACTGATGACAGAGCTCCAACTTCAACAGAGGTGAAAAGCTGGCAGAGCAGAGTGGATCAGGGACACACCTGGAAAAGCAGGGAAGAAAGTACACCAGTGGTGGAGCTGGTATACTGAGTTTTCCTCCCATCGGGATATATACTCATCCCAAGGCATTTTACTGCCTGAGATGAAGGACAAGACATTGCACATCCCATTCAGCTTACAGGAAGCAACTGAACTGGCAACTGACTCTTCCTTCAGCACTAGTGGCATGGCAGCATCCTCCACTGCACCCAAGGACTCCAGGCTACTACAACCTGGCACTTCTGTTGACGCACCCACACCGCCTGGATCCTACCAACACTGTGCCTCATCTTCATTCAGGTAAGCAGCAGCTACATTGGTGTTGGGAAGGCAGCTCTGCCCCACCACAGGGGCCATTACCGATGCCCATAATGCTCCTAGATCCTGAGGAAAGTTAGAGATGACACTTACAAAGACCACAGTGAGCGCTTGCAAAGGATGCTTACAAAAGCCCACTGGTTTTTGAGGCAAACAAATGAGTTTTCACCCATGCTCCAAGGAGCTCAAGAACATAATGTTCTCCCTCTCCCCATTTTATTTCCACAGCAACCCTGTGAAGATAGCAATTTGATTGAGGATTTGAACCTGGGTCTCCCAAATCCAAGTCCACTACAGTATACACGCCTGATTTTTCACAACTGATTCGGCAAGAACTAATTTAACAGAGAAATAAAACAGCAGATTTAGTTTTCAGAGTCATCTGGGTTTTTTTTTTAATGCCCTCATTCTTAATTTCAGTATTCTTAATTAAATATTACCCTAATTATACTCTGCAGAATTATTTTATGCCCTCCTTGGCTTTTCCAGTCTTCAAATATTTGTCCACTAATATCATTATCCCCCGGCATTCACTCATTCAGCCTTCTCTCTTAACGTTATTCTCACCAGGGCTCCTAATTATGTTTGCTTCCATGCCATGGACATCTTCCAGGTTGCTGTTATCTCTCAGGCATCTGGGGATGCCACCAATGGTTGCCAGCTGCAGTTTCCGTCTTTACCTTTCACAGTGCTGTGGAATCAAGACAGAAGGAATTGTGGCTTCTTCCAGATGCTCTCCCACTCCTTTTGCTCACCACCTGTTGTACTGAATAGTGCTGCAGATGCATAATGCAGCAGGCCAGGGAGAGGAGCAGGTGAGAAGGCCTGGGGCAGGGGAAATGGGCAGGAGAAGCCATGGCTGCCTCAGCTCCCATTTTTTAGCAGAAGCTTAAAATTTAAAGGATATATATATATAGGTTATATACAAAGGCAAATCAATCGAACAATCCTAGCTGCTAGTACAAACCTACAATCACCCTCAAACCAGGGCATGGATGCAATCTTTACCCATGACGTGTACTGGAACTGGATCATGCTGTTGACCATCCTCCAGGTTTTGCACAGTTCAGTATCCCCTTATATCCCCAGTAAGTCAATGTGTTCTGCAAGACAGCCTTTCCTTGGAGTTCTTGAAATATCAGTAGCCTGCTCCACAGCAACTCAGTGCAGGGCTTTCACTGTGACGGCCCCTGTTTTGTGGATCAGCATCCCTGTTGAGATATGACAGGGACTTGCTATCTGTACTTTCCAGAAACAACTAAATATATATATTTGTATCAACAAACTTTCCCAGTAGGATGAAAAGGCCTCTGCCTTTGATGTTTATCTTGTGTTGTTTTTAGTTTAGTTGCTATTTTCTATTGTTTTAAGCCTATTTTAAATTGTTTTTATTGTATGATTGCAAATTGCCTTGAAATCTATATGAAAGGTACCCCAACTAAAGAATCATGGCAAGAAAAATTGATGGGCTATGCAGAACTGGCAAAACTGACATATAATCTATGGGACAAGGATAACTGTGACTTTACAGATGAATGGGAACCCTTTACAAAGTATCTGAAGATGCAACAAAGCAAACTGGATTCCTTGGCTGGCTTTGAATAAACATTCACAAACTCTTTATTGATAATAATCAGCTAAATAGTTTGAGGATCTATACAACTTTGTAACATGCAGAAAACAGCATTCTCAGAGAAACCAAAGACTGGAACTGAGGGAAGCTGGGGAGTGGGGGTCCGTGGGTTTTGTGTGGGAGGGTGGGGGGAGGGAGGAAAAATGGGGGGGGGGAATAAGGATGATATGTTTCTGGGTAATATGTTTTGTTTTAATTTTGAATAAAAAAATAAAAAAGAAAAGAAATCTATATGAAAGGTGAACCATAAACTAACATAATGTAACACCAAGACCAACACCAACACTGCAGCACATAACATAAGCCCTGAATATCCACATTATAGAATTAAAGAGCTGGAGGGGTCCCTGTGAGTCATCTATCCCAACCCCTGCCCAATCCACAACTACAGATAGCTGCCCAAATTCTGCATGAAGCTCTCCAATGAGAAAGTATCCACCACCCCACTATCAAAGAATCACAGAATGGAAGAGTTAGAAGGGACCATTTAGATCATCTTGTCCCGCCCCCTGCAATGCAGGCATCTTTTTGCCCAACATGGGGCTCATGGAACCAATCACATAATTGGCTTCATTGTCAAACTGCTCTTACTATCAATATGTTTCTCCTACTGTTGAACAAAAATCCATGTATGCCCATTAAATCTGATCCTGCCTTCTGATCTTTGCCCTAGTACTTCCAAACATTTTGGACTACAACTCCCATCAACCCTAGCCAGCACAGCTCTCCAAAAACATCTGGAGAACACAAGGTTTGGGAAGGCTGTTCCAGATACACAAAATGTCCCATGAACAGCCATGGAACTGATGGGTGTCCAAAAACATCTGGAAGGAACAAGCTGGTGAAGGCTGGTCTATAGATAGAGGTCATACAGTTAGGTCAATAGTTTTTAAAATATGCCTTACGCCCTTTACCAAAAGTTGCTAGGCAGCTTATGGCAATAATATATGCAATTAGAAAAGCAATTAAAACAAGATACAGTCATAAAGCACAAAAAAAGAAAAAAAGGTGTGTGGTTTTAAATAAAAAACTATTTAAAACAATTCCAAACATAAAAAACATAAAAACAATACTAACATTTAAGAACAATTCTATACATAAAAAGCAGTTAAAATTGATTCCAATACAGATGCAGACTGGGATAATTGTTGAGGTCTAGGGATTCTTCCATGCATAAACTGATAGTTGGATTGTTTCCTTAAAAATATAGAGTTTTTTAAGGGGAAAACAGGCGTACCCCTACATTTACCAATAGCTGTGTTTAATGAGATGTCTCCCACCTATTCCAGTCTGTCGTCAATAATTATTCTGATTTGTAATGAATAGACATTTTTCAAGCATGACACTGACATTGCAGTTTCAGAACAGCCCCATCCCAGTTTGATGAGCTCACAAGTGCCCTCACCTGGCACAAGGATATTTTGTTTTCGGGGGCACCCTTATAATGAGAAACAAAACCATAGATTCCCAAGACAGATCCCTTTTACTGTTATCAAGTGAGCACATGCCTTTTTTAAACCTGTTATATGTTATTTTAAACAAATGTTAGATGGAACATTTTCTTCAATTCATTGTATATCATTTCCCAATTTTTAAAAATCTCATTACAGTCCCACCACATATGGTAAAATGTCCCCTCCTTTTCTTTACACTTCCAACACATATTTGAGCTTGTTTTATACATTTTTCCTAATTGCACTGGTGTCATATACCATCTATACATCATCTTCATATAATTTTCTTTCAGCAAAGAACAATGTAAATTTTAAATCGGTTTTCCATAACCATTCCTAATCTTCCATCATAATATTATGACCTATATCTTGTGCCCATTTGATCATGACTGATTTTACCTCTTCATCTTTCATCTCCCATTCTAGTAGTATACTGTATGCGGCCTTCAGTAGTTTCACGGGAGTAAATGCCATTGAACCCAGTGGGGCTTCCCCCTGAGTAGACATGCAGGATTGCACTGTTAGAACCGATTGTTAATTTTTAGAGTAGGTTTGTTGATATCCACTGTGTGTTATGTTCTTTATTGGGTTATATCCAATGCCACACAAGCAGACTTCTGCTCATGCCATGGGACTTCCCCTTCCTCTCCTCCTCCCACAGAATCCCACAAATTAGCTCTCGAGGACCCCACAACCCTCTGTAGCAGATTTGGAGGTGCAGGGCTGTAGGGAGAGGAGAAATCCATTCCACAGACAGACAGAGGTTGCTGAAGAAACCACATTAATTGTTATTACCTTGCTCCTAGGTGAGAGAGATGGGAGCAGCAAGGCTCAGGTTGGGTGGTGAAGGTTAACCTGCCTTCCAAATGAGAGGTGGAATGCTAGGGAGCTGCATTTGGGGACGAGAACATGAACACAGCTCATGAATGCACATTTATTATTACTTATTGAATTTATATCCCACTTTTCTCCCAAGCTGGGATTCTAGGCAGCTAACTCCATTTAAAATTAACATTATAAAATGCAAAGTAATAAAAAATAAACTAGTCATAGAGATCCTTTAGCTGTGATTCCTGCATCGCAGGGAGCTGAACTAGATGACCCTTGGGGTCCCTTCCAACTTCATAGAACCCTTCTGGTTCTATGATTCTATGACAAACAGTAATTGAAATACATCAGAACACATTTAGAATAAGAAATTACAGTTTGCCCTGACAGCAGCCCAGCGGTAAGCACTATCTGCACCTTTGTTTTCAAAGGCCTGCCTGAGCAATAAGCAGTTCACCTGTAAGCTGCCTTAAGTTCCTGTCAGGGAAAAAGGCAAGATATAAATGAATGAATGCATCAGCTGCCTGTTCCTAGGGTTGGTTGTAAGCTGAGCTGCAGAAGGACACTGGAACTAAGGGGTGGCACCATATAATTAATGGAAAAGATTTGCTTCACAGAATCATAGAATTGTATAGATGGAAGGGACCATGAGGGTCATCTGGTCCAACCCCTTGCAATGCAGGAATCTTTGGCCCAATGTGGGGCTCGAACTTATGACCCCAGGATTAAGAGTCTTGTGCTCTACCAACTGAACTATGCATGTGTTATTGGTTATATCCTGGGCACAGAAGCCCTGGGAGGCAAACACCAAAACGCTTAAATGAATACAGTTAAAAATAAAGTGGTTAAATGTGTAGCATCAGAGAGGGAGCAGGGGGCCAAGCACCCCGATGAGGAGTGTGGCCTGGGGACATGTTTGAGGGCCATGTTGTTGTTGTTGTTGTTGTTTAGTCGTTTAGTCGTGTCCGACTCTTCGTGACCCCATGGACCAGAGCACGCCAGGCACTCCTGTCTTCCACTGCCTCCCGCAGTTTGGTCAAACTCATGCTGGTAGCTTCGAGAACACTATCCAGCCATAGGTAAAGGTAAAGGGACCCCTGACCATTAGGTCCAGTCGTGACCGCCTCTGGGATTGCGGCGCTCATCTCGCTTTACTGGCCGAGGGAGCCGGCATACAGCTTCCGGGTCATGTGGCCAGCATGACTAAGCCGTTTCTGGCGAACCAGAGCAGCACACAGAAATGCCGTACCTTCCTGCCAGAGCAGTACCTATTTATCTACTAGCACTTTGACGTGCTTTCGAACTGCTAGGTTGGCAGGAGCAGGGACTGAGCAACGGGAGCTCACCCCGTCACGGGGATTCGAACCACCGACCTTCTGATTGGCAAGTCCTAGGCTCTGTGGTTTAACCCACAGCGCCACCCACATCCACTATCCAGCCATATAGCTATACAAATCAAAGTCTAAAATTGCTGGAAATGTAAAGAAAAAGAAAAAGAGGGTATTTTTTATCATATGTGGTGGTCATATAAGATGATAAAATACTTCTGGGATATGATATATAATGAACTGAAAGAAATGTTGAAAATAACTTTTCCTAAGAAACCAGAAGCTTTTCTTTCAGGCATTATAGAACCAGAGATCCCAAATGACCAGACGAAACTATTTATGTACGCAACCACAGCTGCGCAGACTCTGTTAGCCCAGAAATGGAAAGAAGAGTGGCAGACAAAATTGATGAACTATGCAGAGATGGCAAAGCTTACAGGAAGAATTAGAAATCAGGAAGAAGAGGTCTTTAATAAAGAATGGGGAATGTTTATAATTTATTTGAAAAGCCGTTGAAAACAATTACATACATTGGTAGGATTGACAGAAAACTTGTAAAATTTCAAACTATGGATTGACAAAGGATTTATAAAAATAGAGTTATAAAAGACATGTGGAAGGGGAAATCATTACATTAAGATTAACAATGGGGGTGGAAGTCAAAAGAGATTATATGTTTATGTATTTAATTCATTTGTTAAAGAGGCCTAGGGGCTACCCTTTGCTCCTGAGTACAAGGTTCCCTGTTGTATTTGTCTGCAAATTCTCTCACACCTGACAAAATAAACTATAGGAGTACAACATACCTTAACACCAGCTGATCAGTAAGTAGCATTGAATTGGCTTCCAGGGTTTAGTTGATTCTTATTACTGGAAGGATTGCTCCTTGTTGTGTTCACACCCCATCTTGAACCAACTGCATGCCTCCCCTTTGCACAGGGGCCTTTGGTGATACAAACAGTAGAGAATCTGGTTCTAAGCTGGGTAGCACAGTGCCTTTATTGGGATGTCACAAATTAACATCCATATGAATTCCAGTCAATTTATTCATGGACTCATCTCATAGGCAATACCTATCTCAGTGTCTTGGTTCTTTCAGCTATTCCCATTTGGCCAGAAATTTCCAGCTTTCTCTGCATCTGCTGTCTTTGCTTGCAGACAGGTGTCTCGTGCTCTGCTGTTCTGATTTAGCATCTTAATGCCCTTTTAACTTATGCATAGGCACCCCTGAAAAATCAACAACACATTAAACACTTGATACTTCTTTTTCTGCCCCCCTCCCTGACAAATCCTTCTGTAGAAATGGGATGTGGCATGATACAGAGAGCCAATGAAACCGTTTAAAGATTTTTAGGATATCCTCCAGGTTCCTTAAAATGTTAGTGGGGGCTGAAACTGACAAGAGTTATTAAGAGGAAGATGAAAGTGGGATAGGAGAGACAACATTGCCTATGGCATACACACTCATTTTCAATGCCTGTAGACAAAGAGGTTTGCAGGACTGGCCCTGGATGGCCCACTAGAGGCAAAACCAAAAATGCCACCTTTCCCTCTCCCCTCCACCTCCTTCTTGACTGTGCACCTGTTGTTATGCACCCATCTCCTGTAGCAGGTGCATTCACACACCACCACCTCCTCCTCCGTGCAACAGCTCCATGCCCACTGTACACCCGCTCTTGTGTGTCTGCCCTCTGCCTTCCAGTGTTGGCAGTGGGCGTGCAGACTGTGGGTGTGCAGTGGAGGAGGACCAGGCAGTCTTTCTAAGTTATCCAGAGCCTGCCATCCTGAGGTAATTGCCTCACCTTGCCTCATGGGTGGAAAGGCCCTGGAGGTGTGGCAGGTTTGGAAAGTGCTATGAAAGCCTGCAACACCTGTATAATACAATGACAGTGGAATGAGTTAGCACACCACAGCAGACCATATGCCTTTATCATATCACCTTGTTGATTTGTATGTTTCATTGTTTTATAAAATGTACAGTCCAACATTCAATATAAATATTTCAAGGATGGCTTACTCTATGGAAGGAAACAGAGAGACTAACATCTGAAAACAGAGATAAACAATGGAGTTGTTGGCGTCTGTCTGCCTTGGGAGACCAATGAAAGAGCAGACCCTCAAGGGTTAAGTCAAACCACTGGAAAGCTGCAACACCTGCTGCGGCTGTAGAGACTGAAACATGGAAAGACATGTCTTATTGTAGGATGTGCGTCATTCGGGAGGAATTGAAGTTGGCTTTCAGCACTTCTGTCGGGATTCCTTCCTGTCCTGGGGCTTTACCACATGCCTGAGACTTGATGGCGTTCTTCAGCTTATAATGACAGGAAGGGACATCCAGCTGTCCCAAGACCCACAGAGTCTGGACACTGTTGACTGCTGTGTCAGCGGCCATGCATTCCCATGAGTACAGTTCTTGACAGTGCTCTGCCCATCGCTTCATCTGCTTGCTGCAGTCTGTGATTGTCTCTCAGAGCAGTTCTCAGCAGTGCAGTTTTCCTGACTATTGGCCCAAAGGCTTTTCTTCATGCTTTTGTACATTTTGCAAGTGTTGCTACTATCAGCAGTAAGTTGAATGCTTTGACACAGCTTTAGCCAGTAGTCATTGGCACATTGGCTGGCGATCAGCTGGGCATCGCTCCTTGCCTGTCTCAGTGAAGCAAGCATCTTCTTGCAGGGTACAAACTTCTACCCTTGCACTTTGCAGCAGTAACTGGCTCAATGCCTGTCATCACATCAGGGGTGCCAACTATGGGGAGCTATGGGTGCCTGAGCACCCATAAAAGTTTTGTTGTGGGTGCTCATCACCCACACCGCAGGGCCCCCATGCAACTTCCAAGGCCTTCTGAGACCTCAGAATCTGACTTCTGGTGCCACTGGAAGTCAGGTTCCAAGGCTGGGGGGCGTCATACTTGACATTATGACATCACGTTGTAACATGACACCATGATGTCATGCACACTAGGCACCCATAACCCGGGGCCCAGGTTGGCTCCCGTGCTTCACATGTACGGGATAGACAAGTCCTCTAACTCACCAAGAGTTTGAGACCTATTGGCTACCCTCACCTGGTTTAGCCAGCCAATTGAAGCCATTCCTGGGGTGTGGCCACTATTGCCTTCTGATAGCTTCTAAAAGCCACAGGTGAGAGTTGAGTGCAGGGTGGGAACAAAAGGTGGATGAAGGACCTCAGACTAAAGCAGAGGAAACAACAGAATAAATCAGCATGAATTTGTGATATTAAAACAATCTTGTCCAAGGGTGAAATACCTGTTGTTGTGTTTTAAAAAAATGTTTGTTACCTGGTGCAGAAAATAAAACATCAAACTGAGCCTCTAGGGAGGGAGCATTGCACAAGTGGGCTGCCACAGCCAGGAAGCCATTTTTCCAATTGCTAAATGCTCATCCTTAACCGTGAAAGTGCATGGAGGAGAGCCTATGAAGATTAGCTTAGCATGTGGGCAGGCTGATGTTTGAGAAGGCCAGGGGTGGAGAACTGAACTGAGTCAGTAGATTGGGGTTTGATCTCCCTGAGCCACTGTGAGTGAGTAATTTTCCTTTGTTTACACATTTTGAAATCAAACCATATGGGCAAAAGTGACCAGAGATATCAGCAAACCCTACTTTGGGCAGGTAGCAATGTCTTTACCTGCCCCACACATGACATCATATATAATGTCAGGTGTGAAGACTAGGTGGGTATGGCTTGAAACAAACAGCCTTGCAGGTCAAATTCAAATTAGGATCCCTGGTAGTCATGCATTTGTATGCCTCTACAGCTGTTTAAATAAAATAAAAAACCCACTTAGAAATGCAAACTTCAAAGGCAATGTCTTCCAACATGGCCCATGGGCTGGAAAGGTCACTCAGTCCTAGAGTAGACAGATAATAAGGGGGAAATGTTATGCAACTCTTATTCTCCCTTGAATCTTCCCCTAAAATTTGCTGCCTCTAATGCTGTTTCTTTTATTTAAAAAAATCAGAGCAAATGCACAGACAACTGTAAGTCACATGTAGTTTTGAGCTATAATAAAGGCATTGTTTCCATGACAAACATTAATTTCCTTTGTCCCTCAGTTGCCTTCCCTGAGGCAGATTTTTTGTAAATTTACAGAGCCCTATGAAAACCACAAAACTGCTTCCTGGATATGATAGCATGATGAGCATCCACTTCAGGCAATGATGACTTTTTCATTCTACCTTCAACTCATTGGGGGGAGGGGAGAGTCTCATGAACTCAAACCTAATAGTAATAATAGTAAGTATAATAACAATAATTTATTATTTATAGCCCGCCCATCTGGCTGGGTTTCCCCAGCCACTCTGGGCAGCTCCCAACAAAATATTAAACAGAATAAAACTTCTAACATTAAAAACTTCCCTAAACAGGGATGCCTTCAGATGTCTTCTAAAAGTCAAGACCCAAGACCCAGTTAGCATGGCCACTTATGTATACATCACCATAAAAGAGAGCAAAAGAGAATACAACTTTGCATATTCAAGTACAACTGCAAATTTTGGCAAGCCTACCCAGATGTTCAGAAAGTTTGTAGGAGTTTTAATTTGTTTTAGTCTATTTTATTGCAGTTTTAACCTTCTGTATGTTTTAAATTATGGTTGCAAATTTTTTTTAGTGTTAATTTTATTGTTTTATCTTGCTTGCACACTGCTTTGAGGTTTTTCTGAAAACAAGCAACATTGTAAATTTCATGAAATAAAAAATTATATTAAATTTGTAGATACAGATTTGTGTGCCTCAAGGCATATGATAGCTCAGTTGGTACAGCATGAAACTCTTAATCTCAGGGTCTTGGGTTCAAGCCCCATGCTGGGCAAAAGATTCCAACATTGCTGGGGGATGGACTTGATGACCCTTGGGGTAACTTCCAATTCTACAATTCTTTGATTCTATGAGGTATAATTTAAACAGAAATACAATCCATAGCAGGGAAGACTTACTGGATCACCCAAGTACCTACTCAGTCTGCTCTTTTTCCTCCAAGTTCTTCATCTTTAAATCAGACTTGGACAGCCCTGCAAACAGAGGACTGTCTTCTGTAAAGTAGGACACATGGCCACCCTAAACCCATATCAGCTTATTTAAGGAAGATTTCCATCTTTCCTTCCCCCACTCCACTCCCCTGCCAGACTTGTGTCTGTTTAACAGCACAAAACTAGGGTTGTAATTAGCTGTCATCAGAAATTAAGGCAATATCCCTGCATCCATTTCCCATCCAGTGGGCAAAATGCCTCAGTGTAATCTGCCATTGTTTTAGAGAGGCTCAGAGCACAACTGACATATTTTCCTGATTAGGCAAGAATGAAAATCTCATTGGGTTCCCAGCAAAATAGAATTCCTCTTCCCCCAAACTGAGATAAAGATCTTGAAGCTTCAACTTCAGAAGATGCATAGTCTTTTTCAATCCCTCCTTCCTAGTCTCTAAGTGAAACAAGCCAACGATTTGCTCACCACGCTTTCTTAAAAGCATTAGCTAGTTATCTTTTGATTGATGAGATGGGCCACAATCCAGAGGGCTATGCAAGTAGTTCTGTCTTGCCCAAGGGGTTTTTGGAATTATATTTCTCAGACAGCAGCCTGCCCTCCCCACTCCAGTTCTTCATCATACAAACCACGTAGCAAGCCACGTCTAAAATAATGGAAAATTTCAAAAGTCATTTGCAATTAGAGTTGCCAGGTCAGGAGCATCCCAGGACCTGAGATTTCAGGGCCTAAACCTGAGACCTAGAGGAGGCCCATAGTGATGTGATAGGGTGATCCCCAGTGAACATCTGTGATAGGAATTTTATGGTCTTAGATATATGGTACTGTTCATAACTGCACATACATAGATCAACACAGGAAGACCAACCTGGAACCATTTTGATTCCTAAACTGACCAAATCCTTTCTCTGCAAGGTTAAACTGGAAAAGCCTCCCCATTGTCTCTTTCCTCACAAATCCTGTCTCAAGGATATGTCTGTTTGAATAAGGTGTGAGCCTGTGACCTGGCCCAGGAAATAAGTATTTTACCACTACAAAAGAATGGCCAGGCTCCCCAGGCAATCCAATCAAGTAACTTGCCAGACAGGAGATAAACTGTGACAGGAGAAAAACAACATTTAAATTTCTGTGATGTAAGTGGGATGTATCTGAGGGGTGGTCTTAGGTTACACCCCTTCTGTGATGTATGCATAATGTTTCTGGGGGTGGTCTTGATCTAGAGGATGGGAATTTCAAAAGTCTTTATAAGCCACTGCACAGCATTTTTGTGGGTCCTCCTCCTCTCCTGCGTGTGAGGGAGTACCCTGTTGCAACAGATCAATAAAGATCAAGCTTACTAGCTGCTTTGCTTCTCAATATTCTCTGGTTGGCCTCTGTTATTTTCTCCTACCAATAGGGAACCTATGTAAGGACTCTATATGGGCTCTTGGATACCCCATAAGGGAAAAGGGCATATTTTTATTTACAACAGACCCCATAAGGGAAAAGGGCATATTTTTATTTACAACACATCACAGGGTGGGTCTGGGAGATGGAGGTTAATTGGAAGCAGACCTCACCCTGCCAGTATCTGTGCTATTATTTGCAGCCAGCTCCTACCAGGCTGTAGCTCACAAGATGCCTTTCCTCCTAAAGAACTCCATCTGGTTTATGTTTTATTTCCACCTCTCCCATTTTACCCTCACACTGCAACCCAGTGAGGTAGGTTAGGCTGAGAGGCTGTGATTGGCCGAAGCTCATTCTGTGAGTTTCACAGCTGAGTAGATATTTGAAGCTGGGTCTCCCTAATTCTAGGCAAACACTCACTTCACCACACTGGCTCTCAATTATGCATCACTTACAGTAGTCATTTCAGTAAGTGAATTAATGCTCAAGGTATTCATTCTTAAAATGAAACTAAATGGTACAGGATGTTCTTTCTTTATTATCCCTACAAAGGCAGTTGGGAACATAAATTGTTTCTTGTTAAATTTCCCTGAGTAATTTGCATTTAAGGATTAGCAGATAAGATCTCTCATTTTGACACCCCTTTAACGAGCAGATATTCCACTTTTTACTCCCAGCATTTTCTTTCCTTTCTTCTTCTTTTTTTTTATTAAAGATTTTCTTGTAGATGGTGTCATCTTACAGTAAAATAGCCTGATTTTACACACACACACACACACACAGAGAGAGAGAGAGAGAGAGAGAGAGAGAGAGAGACTCCTTTCAAGCCGCTCCTGTCTGCATTTTTTTGGGTGGCTTCTGTGGATTAGAATGGCTGTTATGAATTTGACAATGGTTCCTGAAATTCCCCCGTGGAGAGGGTTCACTGTCGAGGATATTATGGTCAAATGTTTCACATATTGCAATCAACCCATTTGTATTTCGTTTGAGAGAAATTCCAAAAGAAATCTGTCAGCTAAGAAAAGAAGTTGAAGTAGCTTGGAGCTTGTGGCGCATGTTGAGCCAATTATGATGATCCACTCATATCCTTCAGTCTCTCTCCCCCCCCCGCCCCGCCATCCCCCAAAAAATCAATTTTCATTTTAGCTCAGGGGACTTCCCTCCCTCCACCCATCCACTCCCTCTTTTTGGTAATGTAGAGAAACATCTGTAAGTGTATTTCAGATGCTTTGTCTCAGGAAATTTATTTGCCCTTTGCTTTATCCCCCCCCCCCCCAAGAATATTGAACTCTGTACAGATTATTATTATTATTATTATTATTATTTATTGCAAGTATTATTTTTGTCTGTGTTGTGTGCAGCTCAGTGGTCCATAGTTAACAGAATCTAAGGCTGCATCGAGACAGCACTTTATTCTGCTTTCCTAACATTTTGCTACCTGATTTTTTTTGGCATTTTATGAGATCTTTCACATGACGTAGAAGCCTCTTCTGGAAATCTAGAGGAATCAAGCAGAAGTTTAGCACTCATTTCTGTGTTGGTTTCTTCTGGGGGCAAAATCTGTTTGCAACCCATTTCATCAAGACAATCATGGGATGAAATTGGGGGTAATATGCTTCCTGTTTTTATGGATGGATAATGGAGGGGGGGCAAGAAGTGCATATGCACATGGGGGAGGGACCTGTCCAAGGATGTCTGCTGTGTCACACTACCACAAATGAAATGTACCCTGAAATGGCAGTATATCGATCAAAAAGCCACAGTTCCATAACATAACAGGTAATGTAGTCTAAAAGGAATGCTAGAAACTGGGACTGAAGCACTAGCTTTACAACCAGGAAAATGAAGACAATAATTCAGTACCTAAGTATACTCTAAATCAGGGGTGGCCAACTCCCAAGAGACTGTGATCTACTCACAGAGTTAAAAACTGGCAGTGATCTACCCCCTTTTTTGGGGTCCAGGTCAAAGTTGTTGAGTTTTTTCAGGGAGGAGGGAAAATGTTGAGCTTTTTTAAGGGGAGCCACAGTTGTTCAGCTTCTTTGCGGGGAGCCAATGATCTACCAGTGATCTACCACAGATATCCAGTGATCTACCAGTAGATCATGATCTACCTGTTGGACATGCCTGCTCTAAATCATCATGCTAACATAACACAAGAACATGAGAAGACCCTTCTGGATCTGGTGAGTGGCCCATCTAGTCCAGCAATCTTTTCTCAAAGTGGCCAACCAGATGCCTGTGGAAAACCAGTGAACAGGGCATGAGCATGAGAGCACACTCCCCTCCCATGCTTTTCCAGCAACTGGTATTTGGAAGCATTGCTGCCTCTGACTGTGGAGGTAGAGGATAACCATCATGGCTGTTTGCATGCATGTCCAGCTGAACTTCTGCAGCCTGAAAAGGAAAGGGATATTCCACTGAGCTGACGGAAGAGGCTGACAGTAGTGACAGCTACCAACTTGTACGGCTTTAAAAGAGGATTAGGCAAGTGAATGTAGGATAAGATTAGCATAGGCTACAAGCCACAATGGCTATGTTGTAGCTCCACAGTCAGAGCAGTTTGCAGTTGCAGGAAATCGTAAGTGTGTCAAATGCTGTTGTATTCTAGTCCTGCTTGTGGGCTTCCCATAGGCAACTGACTGGCCACTGGGAGAACAGAATGCTGGACTAGATGGGCCATTGGCCTGATTAAAAAGCAGAGACATCACCTTGCTGACAAAGGTCCGTATAGTTAAAGCTATGGTTTTCCCAGTAGTGATGTATGGAAGTCAGAGCTGGACCGTAAAGAAGGCTGATCGCCGAAGAATTGATGCTTTTGAATTCTGGTGCTGGAGGAGACTCTTGAGAGTCCCATGGACTGCAAGAAGATCAAACCTATCCATTCTTAAGGAAATCAGCCCTGAGTGCTCATTGGAAGGACAGATCGTGAAGCTGAGGCTCCAATACTTTGGCCACCTCACGAGAAGAGAAGACTCCCTGGAAAAACCCTGATGTTGGGAAAGATTGAGGGCACCAGGAGAAGGTGATGACAGAGGTCGAGATGGTTGGACAGTGGTCTCGAAGCTATTAACTTGAGTTTGACCAAACTGCGGAAGGCAGTGGAAGACAGGAGTGCCTGGCGTGCTCTGGTCCATGGGGTCATGAAAAGCTGGACACAACTAAACAACAAAACAACAAGAAGAAGGGAGCTATAGTACAACAATGTTCCACCCACATGTTCAAAATGTGCATTCTGAGGCACAACCCTATATATGCCTACTCAGAAATAAGTCCCATTGAGTTCAATCAGACCTATATGTCCAGGTAACTAACTATAAGATTGCAGTCTCAAAGTTTCAGGGACATCACACATGGGCTTTAATCCCATCAATTTTATTTGACTCCAGGTTTCTCTTCAGTGATTGTGATGTAAATTATGAGATGCTGAAGGTGAAAGTTGTAAAT